ATTTATTTTTTTTCTCCTTTGTTTCGGCTGCTCCCTTCTTCAGGGTTTCCACAGTGAACTCAGTCACACAAAGATGTGGCGATTGTTTTTATGCTGGATGTCCTTCCTGCCACAACCACAGACCACTGAACTACCACAACGCTCTGTGTGGAGCAGAGAGCTGCAGTCTAGGGTGCCCGAGGTGGTAGATGGTGGGGGTTGAGGGCCTTGCTCAAGGGCCCAGAGTGGGGCAAATGAGGGTGGAGAGACAGGTGTGGGTATTTCACCTTTCTTAACCACATTTTGATGTTGTCATTCCAGGGAGTTGAACCGGCAACCTTCCGATCACAGGCCCACTTTTTCTAACCTCTGTGCCACCACTCCCTTCCCACCCCACATATATATATGTGTGTGTGTGTGTGTGTATATATATATATATATATATATATATATATATATATATATATATATTATAGCTATATAAGTCTGTATAGATAACAATTCAATGTTAAATTGGCAGCAATGATAATTTATAATATCTCATTCTTGTTAACTGCTATTTATTTATGTTATTTATAACCTGGAAAACAACTTCCCCTTTTTCCAGACAGAGAAAACTCAGGAATTTCTAGAAAAATATAAAAAATCAAGGAAAGCAGGAATTTTGAACACTGATCTGTTAATTAAAATATGCTCTTTCTGAGATTTGGAAGTGTACAAGTGTTAAAGCTGAGGACTGTGATATCTCGGTGGTCCTTGTTGTGTCAGGAAGGGCATCCGGTGTAAAAATAATTGCCAAGTCTTTGTGTGAGTTAGTTCGCTGTGGCGACTCCTGAAGAAGGGAGCAGCCGAGAAAGAAAAAAGAAAGTGTGTTAATGCTCTTATTATTATTACAGTGTACGTAATACATGTGTTCTTACTTTGGTGGCTTTTTATTATCCGATGTTATTTAATATAATTTATTAGGATTGATTGTCATATGCGTGTACCATAGGCTACGCTTACTGTCATCTCTGAATGTGACTCCGCCCACCACCTGTGGTGCTGAGTTCTGAGCGTTTTGTGCAACTAAAATATTTCCTGGAGTTTCAAGATTTACTCGAGGAAACGTCAGGGAATTTTTGTTTTCATAAAATGTTTGAAACCCTGACTTTGGTCTTGACCCAGCTTAAGCTTTATCTTGTCAGCTTGTCAGAATTCCTTCACTCTTAAAGTGCCACCTACAACAGGTAAGATACTAACTGTTTCTCGTTTTTGCTTCAAAACTATCTGAAGTACTGATTTAGTTCTCTTCACGTCTTCTGAAATATTTGAGCTTTTTGAATCTTTTTTCTTTGTCTACCAAATACTCTTGTTGAATTGTTGCCAATAATTTTATTGTGAGACGTTTACACAATATGAATTATAATTTTGCAATATTTGATATACCGCATTCACTTTTTCTATCTTAGATTAAAAGTTTGTTCAGAGCGCATCATAGAGACTGACACTACACAAATGCATCTCTTTCTGACACTCTTGTTGTTGTCGACTGAGAGATCCTTGAGATCTTGCTGCTTGATCGTCCCGATCCAACGTAGGTTCCATAAAGTCTGGACGGGTCATATCTGGTGTAGAGACTTTTTCTTCTGGACCCAGCAGGTGCATACGTACTTCCACCATAGACTGGAATCACTTTTCTGAAAGAGCAACATATTAGCAACATGTTATTGATGAAACACACATTTATTGTGCACAGTGTTAATAAATAGTGATTTAAATACCTTTCAGAGTAGACGACTCTGAAAACGGTCACAGCATAAAGCAGAGCCCCAAACATGATTAAAAAGCATCCCACCAAGCCCAGAAATAAGGGAGGTCCTAATTCATATCTGGAATAAGAGGGTATTTAAATATCTGTTAGTTTTCTATGCATTTTTCTTAAAATAACAGCTTTAAAAAAATAAATTAAAAAAATCTACCGTAGCTGTCCTGGTGCTAGGTTCCTTGCTAAAGCTGTTCTAGCAACCCTGTTGATGTACAGGCAGTAGGCAGAAAGATTCGACACACCTGTAAGCAGAGGTTTTATTGAAACTACGACATAAATGAGGGCAAAGTGTTTTTGATATCTTTAAAACAAAACCACAACTCAAACTCCACACTCACCACCGACAAAATGAAACACCGCTCCAGAAACAACCAGTTTGTCTTTAGTTTGTTCTGCTCCGCCGATATAAGTGCACTCCATCCCGATGAAGCAGCACATGACAGCGAAGAAGCCGATGGTTAAGCCGCACATCAGTAACCCTCTCACTGCCTGGACAAAGTCTGAGATGACAAGCATCATGAGAAATATCAACGAACAGCTGTGAACTTGACTCACACTGTTTTGAAGTGATGTTTTGTAGAGTTGTTGTCAGTAATCAATATCTTACCTGCAGCAGGAATTGCTCGGTGCAATTCAAGTTTTGAATATCAGAATATTTAAATTTCGATCAGTTTTACACACCTTTGCACTGCCATCATTTTTGTATTAATTGCTTTTATTTTATTTTTGTGATGTTTTAATACTGATACTGGTATCGGTATTGGTATCGGGCCTGATACCAGCTTCAAGTACCAGTACTTAAACTCTGAAAAACACCCCAATATTTTGGCTAAAAACTGCTTTTATGTTTGGTGCAGCTATTTTCTCTTCCACTTTGCAAATAACAGAGGGGAGAAAAAAATAGAGATATTTTAAGATAAACGCAGGTGATGTTATGTTTCTTGTTCTTATTTAAAAAAATGTTTCAAAATTCACAGTATAATGTTTAAATAATGTGTACATAATTTTGTTCCACCTCATGTACCACATGTGATGCGAACGACTATAAAATTGACTTGAACTTTAACTTAAATCCTAATTTATTGACTGCTGGGCATTGTTACTTCATATCAGCAAGTAAACAAACTGAAGTACTTGTAGTAGTACTCATGCTAAAAAACAGTATCAGAACACCCCTAGATATTTTACATAGCAGTCTCTAGTTATCTACTTTTAAAACTGAGTCAGTTTGTGCTTTATTGTCATGAATTGTCAATAAGAAACTTAAAATGCAAAATGAAACATATTGAAAAGGATGATTGAAAAAGAAGGCTTGACAAAATTAACAAAATACCGGCAGTGTTTTCTTAAACTGCAATAAATTGGGAATTTTACTTTTGCATCATATAAAATTTGCCTGGTTATTCTTAAATGTGTACATTTTTGCAACAGATGAGCCATTATGGCAAATGAATCACAGACCAACTTGGTCTTCAGTCAGAAATTCTTGGTCAAAGGTTATGGATGTTTTTATTATCATGTCTGAGAACGTTCTTCCCCGCTGCCCTGAGAACAAAAAGCCCAAAACAAACTTAACCATCTACCAAAACATTATCTCATCTCTGCCCATGAACCATATGTTTGTGTAAATGAAGAGTGATGTGTAAGAAGACTGCAGCTGGTCTCAAGGGCACCCCCTGAACTCTGTGAGCTCGGCTGAGCTGAGAGGATTATAAAAGTGGACAGATAACGCAGCTCGTGGCTTTTTCTGAGACTGGTTTTCATGTGTATACATCCATCCATCCATTTTCTTTACCCGCTTATTCCATTTTGGGTCACGGGGGTCGCCGGTGCCCATGTCCAGCAATCACTGTGTGAGGGGCGGGGTACACCCTG